ATTGAGAATTCTTTCTTCAGTTCTGTACCCCATTTTTAAATAGGGTTATTTGGTGTTTTGTTGACTAGTTTCTTGAGTTTTTTGTATATTTTGGATGATGGTGTGTAGAAGACTGCAGATAGACCCATGACTATTGCCATGCACAAAACTCAAGTCCAAATGTATCAAAGACCTCAACATCAATCCAGCCACACTGAACCTCTTAGAAGAGAAAGTAGGAGGTTCCCTTGAACAAATTGGTATAGGAGACTGCTTCCTGAACCTAACTCCAGGAGCACAGACACTGAGATCAACAATTAATGAATGGGACCTCTTCAAACTTAGAAGCTTCTGTTAGGCAAAGGACACAGTGGATAAGACCAAACGGCAGCCCACAGACTGGGAAAAGGTTTTCACCAATCCTACATCTGACAAAGGGCTGATCTCCAAAATATACTTCTCCATTTTTTTCTTTAACCAAATGTCCAACTTCCAGGAACCTCCTAAGTGATTAGAGTTAGACATACTTAACTATTGTTGGAGGTCAGCCACCTATTGCTTGTGAAATCTTGGGCCAGTACTCAACTTCTTTAAGTTTCCATTGCCTTCTCATTGGAGAGAAGATATGACTTTGGTCTGGTCTTGTCAATCAGGAGATGTGGTGAAATATCTGTTTGGTTCTTAATATAATGAATGATCTTTAATGAGTTTTGCTATAGCTGATGGTAGTGCAGCTATTGTAGTTGTTATTAGCTTTAATATTTAATTTCAGTATTGCCTCTGTTGAATGGCCTTCACTGACCTCTTTGACCTGAGTCACTTTGTTCTAAAACAGAGTTAAATATTTGTTTCACATTAGATATTGCTCCTTCCTTGTGGAGCATCTGTTATACTCTAGATTGGCTTATGTATCTTTTTCTCTATCTTCTCTTATAATTACAGACAAGTTTGGTACAAATTTATTCATCATCATTGTGTGCCCCTTTTTTTGTACCTTAACATATCAGAGCTTTGTGGATTTTGTTGAAAATTAAGTGAATTTTTCAAATGAGAATTCACAGTAAATTGGATAGATTCATCTTCTTCTGGATATCCTCACAAATGCCATTGTTCAGTTTGATACATGTAAAGAAAATGTAACCTTGAGATGATGTTCCTGCTTTCCATAATGGATAGAGGGTATCAATGTGTGTGTGGCAGGGGAGTTGAGGGTGTGGATGGGTGAACTGTCTGGGGATTGAACCTGGAGCCTTGTACATAGCACCTTATCACTTAGCTGTATCCCAAGTACACTCCCTCCCCTTTTAATTTTAAATAGGGTATTACTAACTTACCTAGGGTGGTCTTGAACTCAGGCTGTAGCACATATAGGACTTGAATTTGGAATTCTCCTGCTTCATCATCGCAACCAACTTGGTTTACAGGCCTGTGCTTGTAATACTGGGCATATCAGTTTTTAATTTTTATGGTTTTTGTTTGTTTTTCTTGTGCTGCTCTACAGAATTTTTTCCTTCTTCCATAGGACTTTATAAAAAGACTTACTTTTCTTTAAACTTGTATCTCTCACATCACTCTAAGGTATACATTTATCACCCCATCATTAATACATTATCATTTGACTATCATTAGGCTGTCACTCTATAAAACCCTTGAGAAAGAAAGAGAGTCCTTATTTTAAGTAGGCCTGATACTTTGCTAAAGAGGTTAGTGCACTATCTAAAATTCTATTCTTGGCAAGAATAGGCTTTTGAAACATCAAGAAGAAATGAAATTTAGAGGAGCTACCAAACAATGAAAAGTCTAGGAAGAAAAAAAAATATGTAAAATACGGGAGAAAACAGTCCAATCTAAAAACACTGCCAAAGGACAATACTCACATAGGAGTTCCAGGGAAGGTTTTGTCCTTATTTTGAAAGAATTTAATATTAATAAGAAGGACCTGAATGGTCAGATTGAAGTTAAAGTCATAAAATCCACATGAGGAAAACTTATAGTATACAGTCCCTGAACGGGGCTATCAAGAAAACTCTGGTTAAAGGTACATTGCTCTTTCATAGGGCTCAAGCTGGTCCCCAGCACCTCTAGAAGGCTGTTCACACCTGCTCATTTCTCCAGCTCCAAGAAATCTGATTCTAGTTCTTCTGGCCTGCATGGGCAGTAGCACTCATGTGCACCCTGTAACAGTATATGCACAAGTTTTAAAAACCTCTCTTAAAGTCCCTGAACATTCTCTGATCCATTTTTAGTAGCCATAGTACAGAATATTTTTATTTAAATCTCTAGACACTGAAGTCTTAGCTGGAGGAGAATGGGAAGGGAAGAGGGCATCTATTAACCCTTTCCAAAGAAATGCTTGATAAAGAGGTAACAAGGGCATGTCTCAGTTTCCAGTGAAGATTTGATTAGGCAACACACTGGAGTGAGTAGGTAAGATTTATGTCAGTGTACATTCTTTTGGCTTCTGAAATATTTGAAAAAAAAATAATACTGGTCAAGGCTCCACATACAAGACTGGAAAATTACCCAAGATTCCAGGTCACTGGCAGTTTTCCAGAGATAGTACTATCTCTGGAGTAATGAGACCTGAGCCATGAAAAAAGCCTATGGAATCTTCTCACCTCACACTGTACACTAAAAGGGGAGTGTGTGCCAAGACAGGGAGTGGAGTCAGCTCTTTCTACAGATGGGAACTCAGTCCAGCCCATGTGCTTCATTGTACCAACGTCACAGCAAACGACAAGACAATGAGAAATGGCAGCTAGCTTCCTGTGCCAAACATGAAACAAATTTGTATTTTTGCTTAAAGCTAAACATTGATCAGGTAAAAGTCTCAAGCAGGAAAGATTATATGCAGACAGCAATCAAGTTAGAGATGAAGGAAGTATGATCCCTAACACTGCTTCTGTGAAAAATTTCAATCAACTGCCACTAGCTTTCGCTTCACAAAACTTTGACATATGTCCCTTGACCTTTACCAACTACCCTTTCACGTTTGACACTTAACATTTGCTATGTGATTAAAATTCAGCGTTAATTAATTTCAATGCTATCAGTTCAGTTATATTTAGCTAAGAACACTCACTTTTGTCTTTTGTGAGTAGCACTGCAGTGCTATTACAAAGAGGTAGTCAGGAGGGCAACAGAGATACTAGAAGAGAAGAATGATTCAGTGTGCGGATAATTGTTTCAAGTGAAATTTAGCTTGGTATTTTTGTTCCTGTCCTCAGCAGAACTGAGATTTAGCACCTCCGGCTGGCATTTAGCCCCCACCCCCACAGAGAAGGAGGCTGTGCTGGGTGGATGCTGAGAATGAGCCACACCAGAGTTAAATTATAGCACAGTTCTAACACTGGCAAGGGTTTTCTCTGGCCAGCTCTGTGTACAAACCTGGTGATGCCAAAAGAAAAGCAAGGCATTGCTATCACGGCTCTCCATATGGTGTGCTGCCCTGAACGATGGGGGTTGAATACTTGCTAGAGAGTTGCTTTCCTAAACAGTGGCCATTCCTCATATAACCTCTGTGGATACTTAAGCACAGGAGATTAGCACCTTAAAAAGTTACTCATGAAGTTTTCTTACTGATGACTTCTCTCATACTATGACTAAAAGCTTATTAGAAATAGATACCCCCATCTAATTTTCTTATTTTCCTGATTTTTCTTGCTCAACGAAGAATATCTTTTTTATCAGTTTCTTTATTCCATGTACCTTTAGCCTATAAAAGCATCAAGGTAACAACATGGTTCACCAAATCTGAACCTCAGTATGCTATAGGTCTGTTATCACTACTCTTCTGGTATGAACTCAAAATCCTTATGTGTACTCTGTTACTGGAATGCTTCTATCATATACAGGATAGAAAAAGAGGCCTATACTCTGTTGACAGAGAAGGTGAAACAGTTTACATTTAACTTGCTGAAGATCCAACAATCCATGTTGGATGATTGAAATAATATACTCAGTGTCCCCTAGTTGTTTAAAACAAAATCAAACTTCATAGTATTTTGTTTCTGTATCAGAAAATTCTCATCAACTTTTATGTTACTGAGCCTGACCCCAAGCCATCATGGCATCCCCTATTAATATATAAAGTAATTTAAGTATATCTAGCAGATCTTGGGTTCTTGAACAACAACGGCACAATTTCAAACCCTCTTTACAGCAGTATGTATTCAGCAGTATGTATATCTTTGGTGAGATACAAGATAGTAACTGACCTTAAGTATTATCCTAAGCTATGATTACTTTTTTCTTAAGGGAACACTGAAAAGCTGATCTTGGTCACAGCACAGAAGAATCTCCTCAGCCCTCTAGCATGAGATTTTGCCTCTGTCTGTGTTCCATTGCCAGTCCTATTCTTGAAAACTTGTGAAGTCTTATCTCCATTTAAAACATCATTGGGTTGACCTCTCCGCTCAAGTCCCTAACCTGGGTCTCCCCTAGCCTCTTTCAATTGGCTCTGCCCGTATGTTTATCTTAACATTCCTGAATTCTTCACCTCTAGCTGTGACTTGCCCCTTGGACTCTCCAATTCACCTTTCACATCAGAATGATCTCTTAAATTCCACTGAATAGAATGACAGGAGTATATACATATCCTCTGTGGGTTCTCTGGTCCAGATCCTGGGTCCTTTCCTCCCTTCCCTGCTGCAATTGTCTTTGGTCCTGCAGTATTTAATGCAAAAAAGGTGGCATTTGACATTAGCAAGGAAGACTTAGATGAAAGGGGGGAGATAGATGATCAACTACATTTAAAAATTAATGTTTTAAAGTGTGGGGAGATTTTGTACAAATGTATTTTTCTAGTTCATGAGTATCTTAGCCAGTTTTGGCTTCAATTGGCATATATAACAAAAAAAAAAAAAAAACAGTTACTTCAAATGAAAGTTAAGACTTCTGTTTTGTAATAGCTTTCTTCAATGTTGACTAAATAGTTGACTGAGTGATGTTGACTGTCCACATATCTTGAAAGTGAAGATAGTTTCTTTCCGTGAGCTATTTTTCTGGTCTTCTATTTTCAGGTGTTGCACAATGGCCTCATTATGGAGATGAACCATCCGACTGTGGGGAAGATTGCAGTCCCAGGTTTGAAATTTTTTGTTATTTACTTTAATACATCCATTTATCAATTGTGCTTATGCTCCCTATAGTAAGAACCCAAAAATTCTCTAAAGAATTTATTGAAAAGCAATTCAAATGTATAATTTTGTATAAAATGGGAATGTTACAACTGTACCTACTCATAAGAATGTATGCCAAACCTACAGGCTATGTCTTTTCGCAAAAGAACATGGAAATATCTCAGTGACAAAAGTGTCCATGTTTACTCATTCCATTTTATGTTGTTATGTTCACATAAAAATGCATAGTGCAATTAATATATAAAAATAATAGATGTGGTTTAGCCAATAAATGTTGTATGGCTCATGTGAAGATAAAAACAAACAAACAAAAAAACAAAACAAAACTTGACTTTCCAAGTCAAAATTTTAGATGTATTCATTAATAAATATGTTTTAAAATGTTGACATATATCAGGTAAACTCACCAAAGTCTATTGCTTAAGGCAAAAATGCTACCATTTTCATTTTCAGAGAGAGCCATCTTTGCAGTAACCAGGAATATCAATGTCACTCCCAGAGAACCCTCTATTTCTAATTTTTAAGAATAATCTGATAATGATTTCCTGAAGTTGCTTACATAATGGCCATGGACAAGTAAAAGGATTATGCATGGAATAAAATTGGATTATGCATGGAATAAAATTGGGAGAATATTGATGTGTGAACATATAAGGGGGGCTCTGTATAGATGAAATAACAGAGGGAACCACACATACACACTGTCTGTAAATGTTATATAATATTTCGAAAGATGTTGAAGAAAATGTTGATGAAGTCTAAGAAGGTCATTTATTTATTCATTCACCCGCATAATGAGCATATGGTGTGTGCCAGGTATTGCTTTGGATTCTATTAATACAAAAATAAATGAGCAACTTGAGCCTCATACACATGCTTTATATTTATTAGTATGTCAAATAATATAATTAGGAGTGGATGCATCTGGAACTGTAAATAAAAGAAAACAAAATGTGCTGTCATAAAGACTGACAAGGGTATACAGGTTTCTGGTAGTTTGGGTGGTTAGGGAATACATATTTGGTAGGCTATCTTATAAACTATAGTTGAATAAATAGAAGAGGTTGGCATTTGAAGACTAGAACAGCTAATGTGAACCCAATATAGGAAAGAACTGAGTGTGTTTTCAAGATTAGGAAGAAGCATGCGGCTGAAAAGGACAATAAGGGCACAGGCAGAGGCAGAACTCCCACCAAACTTGACTTACCCTAATCATTAGTAAGAGAGCAAAGTGATACAGTTTATGACCTAAAGTGTCAAATCAAGACATTATTACAGGGGCTTATATGATAGTCTCCGAAATGCAGTCAAGGTGAATATGGTAATCGTAGTACTTTTAGACTGAGAAAATCTTAAAAAAATACTTTATTAAGATTTTAAATTTTTAACAGTGAGACTGAGTTTTCATAAAAACAGGTCAAAGGAAAATATTACTGGTTGTTTGGTGCAGAGTCTGGTCAGTTAGCTTTCCTGCTTTGCCTCCTGCATATGCTAGAATTCCCAGAGCCCCCTCAGAACCAAGGATACTGTTATGTGAGCATGAACAAATGTTTTTTTGTCACAAATAAGGCACCAATAACAGAAACAAAGAAATGGTCTATTCAAGTATAGCTTTATGAACTATTGAGTCTAATGGTATTACTTACAGGAACATGGTAATGGATTACTTCCAGAAGCCTGGCTACTTATCAGCAGCTATACCTGAATAGCTGAAGAAACATTCCTGTCTCCTCCAGCATCTGCTAACCACATATATACTTGGGAAAGGGGGCATTTCATGAGCTCCTCACCTTAGCAATGGTTATAAATTCTTGAGGTGGATTGTGAGTCCTCCACTCTCTATAACTGAAAACCAGTGGCCCCAGTTTTAAGTGGGGTTAGGGGAATATTCACAGTTGATGATAGTTCAAAAAAGAAAACAGCCCCATTATGACCAGAAGACAATTTCACAACAGACCCCAAAACAGAATTCTATACTAATGATCTAAGTTGGCTCCATATTTTACAGATGAGGTCACAACAGCATTGGAATCTCCATAAATTAGAGAGATTTTTTTTTTCAATTTTAACGTTAGTTTGAGTGTGAAGAAAAATGGAACCCAGTGGAGAATGTAGGTGAAACTCATTGGAGAGCAAAGAGATACTTGCTCTTCTGGTCAGGTGTGAATTTGCTGATTTTTGGTTATTTGTGTGTGTGTGTGTGTGTGTAAAAAAAAAATCAATCTCAAGAAAAGGGTTTTAGGTTTTGTTTGTTTTTGTTTTTGTTTAATTTCTAGAAGGAAAGACTGTCCCCATTGCTCATTTAATCTGTGAATGTATTGTGTACCTCTGGTCACAATAATGGCATATAGGAAAGAAACACAAAATCTTAGTCTCATTTTGTTTCTTTATTATACTTGAGTGATCAGCTGGGAGATACTGTCATGGGCTGGACTCAGATGGGTGGTGGCTTTATTTCTGATTATGTAGCTTTATTTCCGATTATGTATGTGATTACATATGTGGCTGACTTGATTTCTCACTGTATGTTGGCCTCAGTTCTGCTCTGTATGCCATTCATATCTCCATGACAAATGGCTGAAGAATAAGAAGGCTTAACCAATGTCAAATTATTTACCATCTACACATAACTAAAATCTGCATTCTGTGCATTATTCAAGGGTGCTAATTGAGGTCAGGCCCTCTTAGAGCTTATAGGTTGTAGGAAAGGTAGGCAGAGTCAATAAATATGGAGAAAGATGAATGTTTCCATGGAAAACCAGAGGCTGCCTCAGATGGTCTTAATGCCTGGACCAGAGAGACCCTGCATAGTATACAGACCTAAGAAAGTTCCTGAGTGGGGTGGTGTAAATAGACACTTAACTAAACATCATGGCACACTGGAGAGTATTAGAATATGGAGAATATATGAAAATTGAGAAAATAGGAAGAAAAGGCTCATGGTTACTCTGAAGAGTGATCTAAATGCCACATGAATGAGATCTTAGATGGAACTAATGAAGTTAGAACCAAGTCAGAGATTCCAAAGCCATCTATGGCAGTATCTCTCAGCATCTTCTGTATGAAGTCTGAAACTGTGGGTGGGAACTGGAGCATGGACAAAAACCTCAACCCCAGCAGAGTAGATGATCTCATGGATTCAATTTAGGAATGATTTCTGTTTCTCTCAAAGACTTCTGTTAAACTTAAGGTGTCCTGTGTTTTAAACTATGAAATTGATAAAAATGTATACTTCTTTAATATAGAATATAAAGACATGTTCAAGTACCAGGAGAAATTCTATGATGAGGGTGTCTATATAAACACCACATGACTATATCTGTAATGGAACAAGCTTGCATAAACTATCATAAAGTCTGTCCATCCTCGCTAAACTGCTCACTGCATCTTCTTGCAATGGGACTGGCCATTGGCCTATTAGCCAGTGTGGATAGATCCTGCTGTCCCTCCATATTCTGTGAAGGTGCCAAAATGGCCTTGGTTCTGTGCTCTTCACTTCAAAGGCTGTCACTGCACTAGACTTTAATGTGTGCTTCTAAAGTTTCTCACTATAACCTTTCAAATCCTTACCCCTGAAAATGCTTTGTGGTCATTTGACTCCAGAAACTTCTGGGAAGTGTTCAGTAGTTGTGTCAATGCTCTGAGGAGCCTGTAAAAGGATTCTAAATTGAATTACTGCATGCTTGTCTCTGATCTGTGTTTTCCAAAAAGAACTCCAATTTATTCTAAATAAAAATTTTCTTACATTTTCCTCCACAGTATTTTAATATTCACACTTAGAACTTGTCATTTTCAATCAGAGGGTGTCAGATGAAGAAGGAAGAGTGACCACTTTGAGGAAGTATAGCTTGAGCAGAATTACTGAAAACATTTTAAACTTAATTTTTAAAGTTTGAATTACTTGCTGGACTTTACATGAGGGTTATTCTAAACTTGGCTTTGACACAGAAAGTCTTGCATTCATAAACATAGTAAAAGTAGCTGTCACATCAGCACTGTCTGAACCAACTTAATATTAAAAGCTACGCCATTAAAAAAAAAGTTTAAAGATGATCCATGGAAAGTTTATTCCATGCGAATTTTTTAAATAAACAGACTTTGAAAACCTTCTGAAATTTCCACTTACTGGAAGGTTTGCAGGTTGAGGCATGCACAGTCAATGCAGTGACCACCTATTCTCTTCCATTGAGAGAAATCTTACGTACTGTGGGCTCCTTCCCTTGCCCTATCCCCTTCATCTTTCTTCTTCCATTTAGATATGAAAATAGATGTTTCTGGAATCAAAGTATAGTTAAATTTCTAGGCCAAATGGTAGCAGTGGAGAAAACTGTCACAAATCATATCTGGCAAAAGAAAAACAAGGAGGAACTAGGGTTTCAATTTTCATTCCACTATAAAATTCATTATGTTGGTCTTCACAAGGAATTCAATGTGAGTCTGATACAAGAATGAATGGTGGGGTAAGTGGCTTCTTCCCAAGAGAAAGGCCTTTCAGATGACACTTTCAAAGGGAAAAGAAAAGATAATGTAATTTTATTGGATAGATGTTTGGACTTCCAGATTCCTTGGGGTATTTGTTAAACTCTCTCTTTGTTGGAAATATGCCAGAAGAAACCTGATAAAAACCCAAAATGTTGAACTCAACCCAGAAATCTAAACAAAACTGAAATAAGGATACAGGAATGATGGAGGCAATAGGTCTGAAAGTACAGGTACATTAGACTCACTTTGGTATTGACTCTTCAACTCTTGGCATATTAGCTACATCCAATTTTCATTTACTACCCACATAAGTCTCTTTCTGGGTCTTTGTCATAAATTAAATGAAATTTGGAGAAATATTGGAGAAATAATAAAATATACAATAATCAAATAGAAAACTTTGAGACTATATTTCAGTTCCTACTTCTATGTTGGAATTTAGTTAGATAATCAAGAAGTTAC